TTTTCATCACTTTTTCAAAAATCACACCACAATTGATACTTTTGAAAGATAATTTCTTATCTTCAAAATCATACCTTACATTATAATTTTGCTGAGCCGCTACGCCTATAATGTTTAAACTATTGTCAATGATCTGAGTCACGGTTAAGCAGAAAATATTTGGTGTAATCTTCCTAAAAAGACTATTGACATCTAAATACAACTCTGCACCATCAGTAAAATGAAACGTTACAATCGAAAATCCAGACCCAATCAAATCTCGCTCCAAATCTCTTTTTTAGCACTCGGTTTTATATTTTTCACGACACACATGCATGATCTCAAACCTTCCTTGAAAATAATTTTCAGTTTTCTCTTTCAGTGGCACATGTGCTTTAAGATCATACCCAACATTGTAATTTGTTGAGCCGCTGCACCTATAACGTTCAAATTACCCTCAATGTTCTTGATCATGATTAAACATTAAAGATTTTGTTTATGATTCGAAAACATATATTTCACATCTAAAGACAACTCTTAAATGACAATTGTGCGATGAAACACTATTTTCTGTTTAAATACTTATATTTAAAATTCAAATACTTTTACACAATTTTGCAAATTGATAAAAAAAAATTAAGAAGAGTTGAAATAGTGTTAATTGATAACGAGAATGTGGTTGCATCATCTAAAATATTTGAACGTTTGATGAAACTAAGAAATCTTAAACTAATAAACACAGTTTTTTTGGCATTTTTAATATCTATCAATCTTTTATGATTCGCCACTATTTGTTTTTTATGAGTTAAAAGACAATATTTTTAATGAACAAAATATTTTTTTTTCTTCTTTAATGTTGCTCTAAGTTTATTACTTCTCATTTACAAATCGACAAGTCTAAGCAATGTGAATTTTTCCGGTAACATTATTATTTTTTGTATCTCAATTTATAATTGGTTTGTAAGTAATTATTGAGATTTCAACTAAAAAATTATTATGCAACTACATTTTGAGATAAGATGACACATAAAAAATGAAATTTGACAGCTAACAATTGCATATTATTACCACACAGCTAAAAAAGTTTTTGTTGAAATTAGCTAGCAGTTATTAAAATTAAATTGATAATTCATTGTATGATCTAGTGAATAATTAAACACAAGTAATCAATAATGACACATGTGATTGATCATACAATTATTTTATTTTATATCGTTTCTTTGTATTCATATTACTCTAATTAAATAAATATACAATTTTACAAATCAAACACTGCTGGTTGAATTTCGAAA